CCCCCCCCCCCCGCCTTCAGCCTTTTCCATTGTGAAAGAAGAAACATGGAATTACTGGGCTGCAGGAGTATAATTTCATGAATGTACTGAACTTTGGGCCATGTTGGGGGTTTTAAGTCTCCCTGCATCTAAGTGCTAGGAGAGGTGATATAGGGCAAGCCTGTAATCCTGCAATATGCTTAAACTGAATCTACCCAGAGGGCAGCTGTTTTGTGAAGGTGGGCTCAGGCTCACACACAGAGTATTTAAACCTGAGTAGTCAGATACTGAAAGATAAAATTAACACTTAAACATGACATTGTATTCCAATGCCACAACTGGTAGCCCATAGGAATATTGAAGTTTATAGATACGTGCAATTTTCAAAGTAATAGTACTTGGATCAGTGAATTTCTGAAGAACCAAATATAGATGTATTGTTGGTATAGAAATTCTTTCTGAGAAAACCCCATTATACGGAGCACTTAAATGATGTGTTGGTAGGATAAAGGTTAATATACCATGTAGTTAATACTTAAATGCATTGTGGCACAATAAAGAATAAGCATGATCAAGGTGTCTAATGTAATTAGAACCTAAGCTTGTTTAAACTGAACTTATATTTGTGAAATGTAAAAGACGATATGAATGTGTTTGTCAGAATTTGAATTGGAAACAAAAATTTCTGGTTATTCTTCAAAATAGTATATTTCTGCAAGTATGCATATGTGTATACTTAGCATTGTCAGTTAAGAGTTATGGTTCTGAGTGTCCTCTGACAGCAAGTGGTTGTTTAGGTTTGAGGTCATCATAGTGGGACAAAAGATTCTGCTACTACTTTGGCTGCTGCTGTTACGTTACAGGAGGACCTCAGAAACACAGAGGTAGGCACTTGAGAGACTAGGAGACCTAGCAGTTCTGAGTGACATTTGCTAAATTAAGGCTGCACTCAATAGGACTTAGGAGTATTCATTTATAGGATCTGGCTGTAAGCCACATGCATGCCACTTATAGACCTTGGAGTTCCAGATAGCAGTGTGAAAATGGCTGAATAGATTTGAATCTCTTTGATGAGCACAAGGAAGTGGCATTTTCTTCTCATATATGTGATAAATACGTGCAAGCACAGATTGGCCACAATCCTGCCAGTGCAGCTCCATGTGTGTACAGCTGATGTTATCATCAGCCATGGCATTTTATCTTTACACAAACATTTCCTGTTCCCCTGCCCCCCAGGTTCTGAGGGGGATCCCCTTCAACCTGATGAAGCTTTGGGGGTCTTGAGGTGCGGAAAAGCCTTTAATGTCTGAAAATCACCTCTGCCAGTCCCAGTAGCAGCAATTTCCAGACATTAGAGGCTTTCTTCCTGTCCTGAGGCTGCCAAAGCTTCATCATGTGGAAAGGGGTTCCTATTTCAGAACCTGGAAATATAAAAATCTTTTAATTTAAGATAAAAGGCTGCAGTCAATGACGTTGTCAGTTATATGCATGTGGAGTTCTGCCAACAGGATTGTAGCCAGTACGTATGAAATCCACTGAAGAAATGAAAAATAAGTATTTTAACACTGTCCATATTGTGGCATATATGATACATAGACATGTTGCATTTAATTGTCTCAGAATGTAATGTCTTGCTGTCAGATTAGAAATACATAATAGCAATATGTTTGTTGCCATCTTTAGAATTGTGCCTTAATTTATTTTTATAAACCTCCCCAAGATTGTTCTTATTATACACAAATCTGTATTTTTCAGATCCTGTAAATATTACTTCAAGCCTGGAGGTAGTCAGGAAAACTTAATTATCTGATACTTTCATAGATGCCCATTTTTGTTTTACCTGGGTTTTAGAAGTGATCTAAACACAGACTTGCCATTAATTCTGCTAAGGTCAATCTTTAAAAGCAAACATTTAGAATTATTTAATTTAGAAATGAAGGTTGTTTCAGATTCTCAGTTTGACAATATAATGTATGTGTAGAACAATGTATAGAGATGTACCTTGTGATTTATTTATTTTCAGTTTTATTTATGTACTGCTTCATACAGTTCAGTCCTGTCCATTTAAAGTTTGTGGAAAGTACTATGAGAAATGCATTCACCTTTCTAGTAAGGGTTTATACACATACTGTATAAAACACATTTTTTAATATACTGAAGTGTGGATCAAAATGGGTTCTCTTTGATAGGTCATTGATATTAGTATAGCTCCTTTTATTAATTGTTTGCAAATGTCTGTTATTTATAAAGCAAGATTTTCCATTAATGCTTTCTCTCATATCTTAAGACCACAGTAATATCAGTTTATTTTTAGAAATGTGTCTGGCTTTGGTTTTGTTTTGTTGGTAGTAAGTGAGTTTACTTGTGGTAATGAAACAATATGCAATGATGAAACAACTTTGAAAAATTTGGACATTGGCAATTTTTTAAAGAAAAGTTTGAAAATGGATTAGTTAGGTGTCATATATTCGTATATGACTTTTATCATAAGATTTGCAATAAAGAGAAGTTCAAAAGATACAACAAATATAACAAATGTAATAGTCCTCATATTCCAATTATCAACATGCTAGTACAAGTCCATATATCAAAATCAAAGTATTACAGTTAGAAAACAATATTACTGTTTAGCCAAATGAACAAAGTTTAAGAAATCATTTATAGGTTGAAAATCAAATTTCTTTTTACCTAATTATTGCATTTTAAATATAAATGCTCAGGACTGAACTAAACATTTAATCAGGTTATCACAATGTTTTTCTGTCTTAATATTGTCTGTAAATGTACACATGTACATCACATAGATTAACTTTTGTCTCTGCACTTTTCATTTGTGTCAGTGATTTTGAAAAAAAATACAGTTTTTTTAACAAAACTTGTTTTTTCATGGGTATTCTGTTTTTCACAAATTATTGGCCAAACAAAAACAACCCTCTGTGTGGTTTCTGTAATGTAAAGATTTGTACATAGAAAAGACTTACCTGTATTAACAATGCCATTTTCATGGCTAATTAATCTGTATTATCAACAATGGTTTCAAAAGTATTTTTATATTAACATAAATATAAGCACCTGGTCAGACAATAATCTGAGGCATTCTGTTGATCACAACTGAATACTGAGTGTAATAACATCCTACTTTTAGATACAGCTAAAAATTGGGATGTAATACAAAAGCACATAATCTGGCCCTGGAATCTCAGAATGTAGTACATAATGTTTGTGTCACTTGTTCTTAGTACACAATCAAACAGAGAAAAGAATTACTTCATGAATGAATAGTTTTATTATACAGTACTTCAAAAGGTAGGGCCCAAATAAACAGGCAACTATTTTTATGAGGCATACTATCACTGAGTTGTAGATAACCCAATAAACAAACATAGTTATTTACATTTGTATTTCATTTTCACTCAAAATAAAAAAAAACTTTTTAGGTTTGACAGAAAGCATTTCAGATTTGAAGTGAAGTAAGCATTTTTAAAATCCTTGAATGTGGACATATTTTTATAATATTGTATTATTTACGTCAGCATTGTCAATTTCAAGGCTCTTGTATTTATGCCATGATTTAACTGACTAAATAATTATGAGCAATAAGCATCAGATTAACAGACTGGGCAGAGATGCAGAAATCTACTAAAAGAACCAATAAGTGGCATATTCTAGTATTCTCATCTGGCAGCAATCTCTTGAGTAACCTTGTGTCAAATTCCTGTAAATCGTTTCCATAAGGGAAGTGGAGGAGAATAAACTTTTATCGGTGAGGCACAGTTATACTTCTGTTGCTTGTGCCTTTTGGTGCCTCAGCAGGAGGCAGTTATTCATTTGTTAAAATACTAAAATTCTCTCAATGTTGATTTTCTTAATCAAAATTAGAAAAATAATGAAAATTCGTATAGAATATGTCTTCAATTCTTTGCTGTAGTATTTGTGTACTTTCAGTGGTACCTTTCTCTGTGTCATGTAAGACTAAGGATGTTCCACTCTTAGCCACTTTAATAACTCATCAGCTATAATTTCACAGTAAATACTATGAAAGGTTAGTAAAACATATAGCTAGAACTGTAAAAGTTGTAGCATTGATTTCTGACCTTATCTCCTGGTAGACATTTTATTGGGAGGTGAGCGTATTATTGCCTGCAAATAGATACTAATATTCTCACATTGAAATTCTGTTTCATTCTCAGAAACTACATCAACTCATTTAGAAACATTTTGCATATAGGAAAAAAGGTGGCAAGTATTTTTTTTCTAAAGAATCAACTCTTTTCTACTAAAGTTAACACACAAATGTTAATGTTTGACTCTATAAAGGCAATACTACTCATCCCACACTTGGATAGCTTTTAATTGTGCAGAGGTGAGTCCTATTTAGTTCCATTGGGCTTGCTCTCAGGTGGTAGGTAGGTATAGGGTTACAATTTTACAGTATATTCCAGTGTGGTAAAGAGACTGAGTTACTTTACATGAAGCTGTTTAATTAAGGACATCATAAACTGCATATTAACAGCATACAAGAGTAATCCAGTTCTTTCAATCAGCAAACTAAAAAGGAGGCTGCCTTTGTACTTAAGAAATACATTATGATCATTCATACTTAAAATTCAAATGCATATAGAAGAACAGCATTGATTCTTTACACAAGCAACATTTAACATGCATTTCATACAATAGCTTTTGTTGGCTATACTCTACATACATATATATCTGTGTGCATATATATAAAATATGCGTATGTATGTATATATAATATATACAAATAGACAAAAACAATAAGGAAGAGTAATTTTATATTTTCTCTTTCTTTAAATGAGTTGTGTAGGCAATACTAATGAAGTCTTTAATATATTCCATCATTCTTGTGTGGTACTTGATAGCTAATATTAAAGATGGGTGGGTTTGGTTTTCTTTGCTTAATTATATATATAGTACAATCCTAAAGCCAAGATATTGCTCATACCTTCATTGAAGAAGTGCAGTGGCCCATAGAAATCAATTACTATATTTAGTAACGTGTAGTTGTGTAACATTAAGAGTCATGTTGCATTCTCGTTTGTCTTATTTGAACTTCAGATGGTTTGGTTTTGACATTTTTGCTGAATCAGACAAACCTGCATGGTGATGACTTTCCACAGTCATTTCAATATCCCTCTGTTGCGAAGCCAGCATTTCAACTTTGTAATAAGGAGGGTAAAATCCTGATCAAATAAAACATATGACGAGGAAGATGTAGAAACCCAGATATAAATAAATCAGTTAAGGAACAAATAGTCCCTTGAGTCTTAATTGGAACAAGGTTCTTTCTGCCTTGTGTGTGTACGAGATTCAAAAGAAAAAGAAGTCTATTCTGTCTCTCTTAGACTCGGGGGGGTCTGTTGCCACTTTCCATGTGTTGACAGGTATCTTGTACTTTTGCCACTGTATAATGGACAGATGATGATTGAACATCAGTAGAACAGGCAGTGCAATTTAACAGTGAACCTCCTAAAATGAGACAAAATCCAGCAAACCAGCCTATAAACAATGCTTCCCCAAAATCCCACCTGGGAACGATGTCTGGAATAGTCTCATCCCAGAATTCCTGCACTGTGCTGTGAGCAACCCAAGAGACTGGGATTATAGCTGTAATTCCTGATATCCAGAAGAATACTCCTCCCAAGAACAGTAACCTCTTCTTTAGATCCTGTTGTTGCTCACCAACCTTCAAGCAGTCCAATCCAAAACCTGAGAGCAAGACACCTGAAAGTCCTAATCCATTGGATGCAAACATCAAAATCCTAGAAATTTTGAGCTCAGGGGGTAAAGCCAAGAAAGAATCAAATTCCTTGCATTGCATTCCCCCTTCTTCTTGAACCACACAGGCTTGCCACAGTCCCATTGTCCAGATCTCCAGTTCATTCAGTTCTAAATTGAGATTTTTCCACTGAGGCAGGTAGGTAGTGAGGCAGGATAACACCCATCCCAACAAACATAATAAAATTCCAGCTAACTGCATCAAGGTTCTGTATGTCAGTGCCATTCTAAAGGATGGAATTGCCTGGCTGAAAGGTCTTTTGGCCAACTCTATAAGAGTCGCTACCTTATATGGTGACTGCAGCTCTAATGATCTTTAGCTCTTTGCTGCCCTGGATATAAGCTTTTGATGTTAACCCTTTCAGGGGTCTGAAATGTGTTTTTGTTCTGCCTGCATATAATGTTTCTTGTACAGGACGAAGGACTCTGCTTAACCATGAGTTGGGTTCTGTGATAAGGATTTGATCTGTTACCTTCCAATTTGCTTGGTAAAATTATATCCCAATGCCTGATGATTACAAGTCTGAGGATGAACAAAGAACACTCTATGACCCCTCACCCTAAAAAACACAACAGAAATCTTTGTACTTCTATACAGATTAATTAGATTTTAAGTGGTGATAAAAAAAACCCAGCTCTGTCTGCAACAGGACTTCATTGTAATAGCTAAATTTGAGATTTCAGGGTTGCAAATCAAGGCCTTGTAAAGAAAGGTATACTGTTTTCCCATAATCTGTATGATTAGACTACCTTGATATATGTACATGTATACCCAAAGGCTTACTATTCAACCTCTTTGTCTTTCAACACTGTAAGAAAGAATGCAAATGACTGCAAAAGATTGTTTCCTTGTGTTTTATAAAAAAAACTAGTTTTAAATTGGTTTTGTCATATGGGTGACCTTTGTAGAGCACAGGGGAGCAACAGAGTATTCTGAAGCAACAGTCGTGAAGCATTCACCGCTGATCACAAGGCGTCGTTCATTTTAAATAATGCATTTTTGATCTTGTTTTTTTTAACAGCTATGCTTTATTTATCCCATATGTAATTTGTGACTTCCTGCTAACAAGTTTCCATAGAAGTTCTGATTAAAGTGTGTTGCGGGGAGGAGTAATTAGCAATACAAATCAGTTTCTGCATAGGGAGCATATGCAAGCTGCTAGCACTCAAGGAAACAGCTCCGCCACAATCAGGAAAATGCATCCATGGTTCTTCGCCTTGAACATACTGTAATTGCCTTGTTGGGGTCAAGCTGTCAAGGATTCTGTTTCCATTCCAAAAGCAGCTACAAAAGATTTTGGCCTAAGGCTACCAATTATGCCATTTTGAAGGGAAAAGTTGTGCTCTATTACAGCAAAAATCAGTCTTGTGGCACCTTGGAGACTAATTGCATTTTACATAAGCCTCATGTTACGTAAGTAACAAAGCATCTTCCTGCCTCTGATGAAGTGGGCCACGTTTGAAACAAATCCTGTTAGTCTTTAAGAAACTCTATTATACATTTCATATATTATACAGCATAATAATTGACACAAAGCACTTAGATTTAAATATTGCATCAGAATATTGTTTTTAGATGTGTGAGATTCTTACAAAAATAAGAAATATTGAATAAGAAATATTTTTCAATTAATTTACAAATTCCAAAATATAGACAATATGGATGTGGGGACCATTATTAGTTAATTAGATTCAGATAAATTAACTATATCAGTTTGATCACAAAAGACAAGCTGCCAGATAATGTTCTGCTCCTACAATCTAAATTTGTTCTTTGGGTCTTGCAATTTATTTTGATATAAATAAACCATTATAAAAACCAGCAAGAAATAAAGCCTATTTTAAAAAAATCTTTAAAAACAAAACATGCAACAGTAAAAAAATAAACCCCTATACATTAAATGTCAATCAATAAAAACCAAATGGTCAGCAGAAATTGACACAATCAAATGCTAAAAAGTTTAAGGTCCTATATTCATTGAATGATAGGTGAGCATTTATTTTTCCAGTTTTCCAGTGTAAGTCGTTTAGTCATCAAAGGGCTTGAAAGGTTTTCAAGTAGAATTTTGCTTTGAAGGTGCCAGGATTCCACATATAAACAACAGTCTGATGATAATGTGCAGGGGGAGGGGGAACCAGTATGTTCAAAAAATCCATTCAGAATAAAGCAGACAACAACTAGACTAAGTATAGAAAGCTCTAAAGCAGACTTCTGTGCAGGTATGCTTAATGTTGAAATGGTGGCCCTCCATTGCAAAAGGAGAAGAGTGAACAAAATCTGTTTCCTCGAAGAAGGCAGAATGACCTGAGCGATGACCAAGATCAAGATGAACAGATATCAATGCTCATCTGGCTACTTATTGGTCCATTCACACACCCCATTACCTTTTATGCAGTGTTGCTGCACTTATTCTAATATTTACTGAGTCACGAAGTAAGCTAGGTGACACTCTGGTCAGAACAGTATTTTTTCCCCCCTTTCTTGCTCAGCTGTGTCTTTGGCAAGGGTGATAATCTGTCTGGTTTTACCTTGTATGAGTACCTGGTGTATGTCTAAGTTGGGCAATCCTGTTGGGGCTGGTGGTGTTCTTCAATTCTTTTTATACACCAGGTGATGCCTTCTGTCTCTTAATAATACTGGGACTACTACTGGCAAGCAACATCATGATCTGCAGATGGCTGAAGAATTCACTAGCCATACCCATGGGTACTGGGTAGCACAGTTCCGCTGTTACTGTGACATCATCTTCCCTGTTGGATGAACATAGAATGGTAACTGTGCTCTACTGGCATAAACTGGCATAGTTTTGAGTACCGTAACACAGGGGTCCCCAATCCCCGGTTCGCAGCCGGGTGCTGGTTAGTGGGCTTCCTGGAACTGAGCTGCGGAGACAGATCTCCGCCCACCCGCAGGGCGTGTTGCTTTGCAGGTGGGCATGTGTTACAGGCCCACCCGCGAGCATGGCACGCCCACCCAGAAATGCAGGGGTGCCCCCATGGACGGAGCCCAAACCCAACCCCCCAACTGGTCCATGGTCCCAAAATGGTTGGGGACCGCTGCCATAACAGGACTATAGAATAACCTCCTTCCTTCAAGGACTGTAATTCACAACTGGGGGGAAACCTCCTTTTATAATAAAAGGCAACATGATCCTTTACAGCACTGGTTCTTAACCTTGGGTTACTCAGGAGTTTTGGACTGCAACTCCCAGAAGCCTTCACCACCAACTGTGCTGACTGGGGTTTCTGGGAGTTGCAGTTCAAAAGCATCCGAGTAACAAAGGTTAAGAACCACTGGTTTACAGCATATTAAGTACCCCTGAAATGTTGTAACAAAATCTAGTTAATCATCATCATCATCATCAATGTGCTGTTACATTAATTCTGACTTGTGGCAACCCTTTTCAGGATTTTCCAGGTAGAGAATGCTCAGAAGTGGTTTACCATTCTGTTCTTCTGGGGATACCATGCAGCTTGCGTAAGGCTACATAGGCTGGCTCTTCTTCCAAGAGGCACAACAGGGAATCAAACTTACAACCTCTGGCTCCACAACCAGGTACCTGAACCACTGACCTATCCAACCAGCAGAGCCAATTAAGGAAAAAATACCTTGGAAAGAAAAATTAATGAATATGTCAAGGGATGAAAATTTTGAGTTAAAATTCTAATAATTTCAGGAATGATGCTTGTGCTTTGCATTAACTTCAACATATAAAATTCCCTTTCACTAGTAGACTAGCACTTAAGAGACTTTGCTCCTTGCATAGAAGTTGCTTATACAGTGGTGCCTCACTTAGCGATTGCCTCGTTTAACAATGTATTCGCTTAGCGATGAGGTTTTTGGAGCAATCTTGCCCTCCATC